AGCTGATTTGAGAGAGAGAGAGAGAGAGAGAGAGACTGGTTGCCTCCCATATGCACCCCACTGGGATAAAACCCGAAACCTGGGAATGTGCCCTTACTGGAATTGAACCTGTGACCTTTCAGTGCAAGAGATGCTCAATGGAGCCACACAGGCCAAGCTGGATAGCTTCTTCTTCTTTTTTTTTTAAAAAAATATATTTTATTGAGTTTTTTACAGGGAGGAGAGAGGGATAGAGAGCCAGAAAGGTCAATGAGAGAGAAACATCAACCAGCTGCTCTTGCACACCCTCTACTGGGAATGTGCCCGCAACCAATGTACATGCCCTTGACCAGAATCAAACCCTGGACCCCTCAGTCCGCAGACCGACACTCTACCACTGAGCCAAACCAGTTTCAGCTAGATAGCTTCTTTAAAAAGATTCCAGGCATCCCATCTCTGCCATCTTCCTAAATTGGGGGATTCTTTGGGGATGGAGACTAAACATCTGAATTTATTTATTTTTAAAATATATTTTATTGATTTTTTTTAAGAGAGAGGAATAGAGAGCTAGAAACATTGATGAGAGAGAATCATTGATCAGCTTCCTCCTGCACAACCCCCCACTGGGGATGTGCCGGCAACCAAGGTACATGCCCTTGACTGGAATTGAACCCGGGACCCTTCAGTCTGCAGGCCGATGCTCCATCCACTGAGCCAAACCGGTTTTGGCAACATCTGAATTTTATTTTATTTTATTTTTTTATATTGCATTTTACCTATTGTTGCCTTCTGGAAATACAGCAATCATTTTTTTAAAATAATTTTTCCTTGACATGATATTTGAATGATTTTTTGACATGACATGAGATTTTTATGTGTTTGTTTACATTTACAAGTAGGACTTTTTAAAAAAATATATATTTTATTGATATTTTTTACAGAGAGGAGGAAGGGAGATAGAGAGCTAAAAACGTCGATGAGAGAGAAACATCGACCAGCTGCCTCCTGCACACCCCCCACCGGGGATGTGCACGCAACCAAGATACATGCCCTTGACCGGAATCGAACCTGGGACCCCTCAGTCTGCAGACCGACGCTCTACCACTGAGCCAAACCGGTTTCGGCAACATCTGAATTTATATAAGCATCCTTGGTGATTGATTAGGGTGGTCCAGGGAGACTTTAATGAAAGAATCAATTAAGAATGTGTGTGTGTGTGTGTGTGTGTGTGTGTGTGTGTGTGTAGTAGGGGTGGGGAAAACAGTACTATCATATGTGGGCACCAGGTGGCAACAGAGAGAGGCAAGGAGAGGGGTGGGAGTGGTGGACTCGGGGATGGTTGTGGGAGGAGCTGGGCCCTATAGCTAGCTCAGCATGGTCATCTTGGCCAGCTGAAGTCTGTTACTGCAGACTACTCCCCTGTGACCGCCTATCTCATCCCCAGGTCTTTACAGACATTGTGCTTCTGCCAAACTCTGCCAGCAGAAACCGCACCAGTGTGACCTTGACTGGGCTGGGCGCGGTGGTAATGTGTGTTCCACAAGGGTGAGTATGAGGCCAGGGATGTCACCAGCACAAGGCGGCTTATGGAAAGGGCAGCAATGCGTGTGGAAAGCAGGGTTTCCCCACCCACTGCGGCCAGGCTTGTGGTTCCAGGCGCTCTGAAAGGACCCCATCACCGGAACTCGGCCTGCTCCGGTCAGGAGAGGAGGAGCTCTGCTGCTGGGAAGCTGACTGAAGTCCAAGCAAAGGATGCTGGGATGGGGTGGTGGCAGGGAACACGGGAGGAGGCAGCTGTCCCTGGAAGCAGACAAGATGTCCCTGGCTTCAGCAGGGGCAGGGCGGTAAGAGGATTAGGTGACAGTCCCCTAACTCAGGCCGGAACTAACACCCTCCTCCCCCTCACTTCATGAGCTTTGGCCTGCCCCGCGCCAAGCCCGTCCAGGTTCAGAATAACCCGAGGACCAGACAGCAGGATGGCAAGGGCTCTGCTCAGCGCCCTGTTCCTCTTGCAGCTTCTCGGTATGGACAGGGTCGGGGGAGGTGGTTGGAGACACACACACACACACACACACACACACACACACACACAGAGACACTATCCTAAGACCAAGACAGAGACCAAGATGTAGACTGGGTTGCAATATTTGGTCCCCAAGCACAATGACATGGGTTCAGAAGACACTCATAGGAAAAATACAGTCTCGGAGGCAGACACACAGAGAAGCAGAGACCTGGGCAGAATCGGAGTGAGCAGAGGTGGGGAGGCCCCCTAGCCTCTTCCTCTCAAGTGACTCTATGGCTTGTCACCATCACCAGGCCGAGGCGAGGGGATGAGTGAGGAGCTGCGCCTTTACCACCATCTTTTCGACAACTATGACCCCAAATGCAGGCCAGTGAGGAGGCCTGAGGACACGGTCAGCATCAACGTCAAGGTCACCCTGACCAACCTCATCTCACTGGTAAGACACCCACCTCCGTTCCCAGCGCCGCCGCATCTGAGCTTGACATTGCACTGCTGGCCCCAACCACGCCGTCCTAAAGCTCATGGTGTAGCCCTGGAACCCCCCCATCCTCTCCCCTGCGCAGAACGAGAAAGAGGAGACCCTCACCACCAGCGTCTGGATTGGAATCGTGAGTCAAACCTGGGGGGACCGGGCGAGGTCTTGTCCAGGGAGCCCCTTTCTACCCAAACGCCCGCGCGTACCAGTGGGAGACGCAGGGCGCAGCGCGTCGTCGTCCCCGCCGTCCCGTCCCCCCCCCCCATAGGACTGGCACGATTATCGGCTCAACTTCAGCAAGGCGGACTTCGGGGGCTTAGGGACCCTGCGGGTCCCAGCACAAAGCGTGTGGCTGCCAGAGATTGTGCTGGAGAACAAGTAAGGGGCGAACGGAAGCCGGGCTGCTCGCAGCCGAGGCCTGAGGGGGGCTGGGCGGACCTGGCTGGGGGGCGGGAGGGCGAGGGGTCGCGGACCTCGGCGAACCAACGCCGGCTCTCTGGGAGCCCACAGCATCGACGGCAACTTCGGGGTGGCCTACGACTGCAACGTGCTGGTGTACGAGGGCGGCTTCGTGAGCTGGCTGCCGCCCGCCATCTACCGCAGCACCTGCGCCGTGGAGGTCTCCTACTTCCCCTTCGACTGGCAGAACTGCTCGCTCGTCTTCCGGTGGGGAGGGTTCCCTGGGGGCCGGGGCTCTGCGGGGTTAGGGGGGCCGGGGATGGCGTCCTATGGGGGAGAGGGGGGTCGTGGGGAGGGAAACACACATCTGGGGGCGGGGCTTTGTGCCGGGGGCGGAGCCAGGCTCCGGAGTGGGTGGGGCGAATTTGAAGTTGGGGAGAAAACGGGGTGCGAGTTTGGGGGGGGTGGGTGGCCCTGCCTCCTCAGCTCCCAGACGTACAATGCCCAAGAGGTGGAGTTCGCCTTTGTGGTAGGAGATGACGGCGAACCCGTCAGCAAGATCGATATTGACACGGAGGCCTATACCGGTGAGGTCCCCCTGACCCCCCGCTCCTAAAACCCGCTTCCAGACGGGCCCAGAGAAGGAAGGGACTTGCAGAGTGGGGCTGCCCCAGACCATCCATCCTAGGGACCGGCTTTGGCCGCCGCGCTTTCACTTGCCCTTTTCCTGAAATGACCCTCGATGGTCGGACCCGTCCTACCTCCTCGCGGTCGGTCCAAACCACACCCGAACGAACAGCCTTCCGGCCCTGCCCAAATGGCCCCCCTGCCGGCAGCCCCAGGCCCAAGCTCTCCAGCCCCCGTGTCCCTCCCACCCCGGCCGGCCCGCCGCGCAGAGCCGGCTGAGCGCGCCCCCGCCCCGCAGAGAACGGCGAGTGGGCCATCGACTTCTGCTCCGGGGAGATCCACCACGGGGACCGAGAGCCCGCGGACGGCCGCGGGGACGTGGACATCGTCTACTCGCTCATCATCCGCCGGAAGCCGCTCTTCTACATCATCAACATCATCGTGCCCTGCGTGCTCATCTCGGGCCTGGTGCTGCTCCCCTACTTCCTGCCGGCGCAGGGTGAGGGATCGCCCCAACCCGAAGGAGGGGCTCGTGCTGGGGAGAGGGGAGAAGGGGGGGCGGGCAATAGCTCTCCCTGGGCGCTCCCTGCAGCCGGCGGCCAGAAATGCACCGTCTCCATCAACGTCCTGCTCGCCCAGACCGTCTTCCTGTTCCTGATTGCCCAGAAGATCCCAGAGACGTCTCTGAGCGTCCCGCTGCTGGGCAGGTGCGGGCGCGACGGTCCCCGGGCCCCGACGGTGCCCACGCGGAGGGCGGAGCCAGACGGGGCGGGGCGGGGCTCAGAGGGGTGGGTCTGGGTGGGCGGGGCTCAGAGGGAGTGTGTGTCGGGGTGGGCGGGGCTAAGAGGGTTAGGATGGAGTAGGCGGGGCCAGAACCAAAGGACTCTGCAGCGGCTTCGGCTGCCTCTCTCCGCCTGGGCTTTATTTGAACGCAGGGTGGGCCTGGGACGACTGTGGGCTCTCCGGTCCCCCATCCTCTGCTCTGCCGCTGGACGCCTCCTTGAGGTCTTCCGAGCATCTCTGTGGCCGGGGGCGTGGGGGAGGCGGCTCTATGTCCTCTATGTCCCCAACCGTACACACTGCCTCTGGCTCCCAAATCACCTCCTCATCCCGAACTCACCAGTGGCCCGGGGGCTCCGGGAGCAGCCGGCTCCCGCACGGCTGCAGGAGGGAGGCGGACCCGCGCGGAGCCCGGCCGCTTAGGCACAGCCACGCCCCCTGCAGCAGGAACCGCGCGCTCTCGCCCACCGCAGCCCCCGCTCGCCGAGCGCCCTGCCCCGCGGCCTGGGCCACCCGGGCCAGCGCGCCGCCGGGGTCTCCGGCGTCCGGGGCGCGGCCCGCGCTGCCGTCCTCTCCGCCGAGTCCCCGCGCCTCTTGCTGCAGCCACAGGGCCGAGATCTTCATGGGGGGAACCGGAGTCAGCTGGGGGTGCAGAGGTCCCTCCCTATCCCCCTTCCTCCCCCTCCTCAACCCCCTCCCCCCCCAGCGCCCTACCTCTAACAAGGTGGCACCCAAGTTGACGACGCTGGCCGCGGCCTCTCTCAGCAGCAGCCCCAGGGTGGGCTCCGGGGCGGGCGGTTCCCGCGACTTCAGCTCCGCGAACCTCTGCTCCAGATACTCGTGGGCCGCGGCCACGGCGAGCTCCAGCGAAGACAGGAGCGGGGGCTGGAGCGCCACCTGCAGAAGGAGCAGGGGCGGTGGCGCCGGCGGGTCACGGGGCAGAGGTCGCGCCGGGGGCCGCTGGAGACCTTCCCCGGGGGTCTCCCCGAGGCGCTCCCCGCAGGCCGGGCCGCGGGCGCCGCCTCACCTCCGTGGAGCTGTGGAAGTGGTAGACCCACAGCAGGGTCTCCAGGGAGCCGGGGGTCCCCTTCATGGCTGCCACGAGTGGCGTGGCAGGGAAGGGAGAGGGCCGCGGAGCGCGAGCGGCCCCGCAGAGGCGCGGCTGGGGCGGCCCCACTCCGGGCGGGCGGCGAGGCGTGTTTGTGAGGTCAGAGGACCGGGCCGGGTGTGTGTGTGGGTGGGTGGGTGTGACGTCACACACCCCGGGCCCCTCAGGTACCTCATCTTCGTCATGGTGGTGGCCACGCTCATTGTCATGAATTGCGTCTTCGTGCTCAACGTGTCTTTGCGGACGCCCGCCACTCACGCCACGTCCCCGCGGATGCGCCACGTAAGCGTGGGGCGGGGCCGAGGCGAGGCGAGGGGTGGGCCTTGGCGCTAAGCTCCGCCCACTACCCGCCCCCGCCCCGCCCCCAGATCTTGCTGGAGCTGCTGCCGCGCCTCCTGGGCTCGGGTGCGCCCCCGGAGGCCCCCGGGGCAGCCTTGGTCCCGAGGCGGGCCTCGTCCGTGGGCCTATTGCTCCGCGCCGAGGAGCTGATCCTGAAAAAGCCGCGAAGCGAGCTCGTGTTTGAGGGGCAGCGGTACCGGCACGGCACCTGGACCGGTGAGTAGCGTGGCCGGGTGGGCCAACCGGGGGCCCTGGAAGGAGTGGAGACCTAACAACCCCCCTGGTTGCTCCCCCCTTCCCGCAGCCGCCCTCTACCAGAGCCTGGGCGCCGCCGCCCCCGAGATCCGCTGCTGTGTGGAGGCCATCAACTTTTTGGCGGAGAGCACGCGAGACCAGGAGGCCGCCGGCGAGGTGGGTGGGGCGGGAGTCAGGGGCCTCCCCACCAGCGTTTGTGCTGCAGGCTCCTGCAGCCTGTAGGCACTCAGCTCGTGCCCACGCCTTCCTAGGAGGTGTCCGACTGGTTGCGCATGGGGAAGGCCCTGGACAACGTCTGCTTCTGGGCGGCGCTGGTGCTCTTCAGTGTGGGCTCCAGCCTCATCTTCCTGGGGGGCTACCTAAACCGGGTGCCCGACCTGCCCTACCCTCCGTGCATCAAGGCCTGAGCTGGTTCCTGTCCATCTCCAGGAGGAAATAGATTATGAAAAACAAGTTGCTACTACCGCTGCTATATCATGATCCTTGACCACCACAGATAATAAACCAGTATTTTGTAAACACATGTTGCGTGTGCACAAGTGTGGAGGTCTGGTGACTGTGCAGGGATTAGAAAGAGGGAAGACTTTAAAAAAAATTTTTTTATTGATTTTGGAGAGGGAGAGAGAGAAGTATCAATAAGAATCATTGATCAGCCGAAACCGGTTTGGCTCAGTGGATAGAGCATCGGCCTGAGGACTTGAAGGCCCCCTGTTCGATTCTAGTCAAGGGCATGTACCTTGGTTGCGGGCACATCCCCATAGGGGGTGTGCGAGAGGCAGCTGGTTGATGTTTCTCTCCCATTGACATTTCTAGCTCCCTATCCCTCTCCCTTCCTCTCTGTAAAAAATATTAAAAAAAAAAAATTGATCGGCTGCCTCCTTCATGCCCCACACTAGGGATCAAGCCCATAACCTGGCATGTGCCCTGACCAGAATTGAACTGTGACCTCCTGGTTCATAAATCCCCGCCCCCCCTCCCCAACCACTGAGCCAGCCAAGATGGTGGTTCAAGCCATCCTGGATTGAATGCCAATCCTCTGAGAAGCAAAGACCATCCTAGATTCAGCCTTGTTGACCTTCCAGTTTTGAACAGGCTTCAGCTGCATAAGACCTTCTAGCCCTGTGAGCTTCTAAGGCGGCAGCTATTCGATAGGCACACAGGAGACTCCGTTGCAGGACTGGCACTTACGGAGGCTAGAGCCAGGAAGCAGGTCCCTCTGGCCTGGCCCTGTTGGAGCAGCTGGGACAAATGCCCTCAGGGCAGGCCCCACAGGCCCCCAGGGAGTGAGGCTGCGGATGCCCTGGCTCTCCCTCAGTCATTTCTTCTACGTTTTCTTGGTCAAGTACTGCCCATCTACTTGGATCCCCAAGGCTCAGTATAGATTCCACCCCACCTGCGCCCATTTGTCCTAATTCTGCTTGCTTGCCCTGGTGAGCATCTGGATTGTGGGGAAAAAAACAGAATAAAAAGGAGTCTGAAGTGGTGGGAGCTGGTTGAATAGTCTTTATTAACAAACGGGATATCCAAGGCCACTACATTGAGGAGGGGGAGGGGCAGGGAGGGAACAGGGCTACTTGCCGCTCACACTATATACAGATGCAAGCAAGGGGGTGCGGAGGGCCAGAGCTCCATGCTCCCTCCCTCCACCAGGAAAGGACAGAGGCCAGAAGAGATGAGGGTTGGAAAGGGAGAAATGTTTTGGCTGGCGGGGTCCCCCTTCCATTCCCTGGGGTTTGGGAGGAGGGGAATCATTAAAGTGCTTTCAGAAAATGAGGAAATGGTCCCTGCCCCTGGAGTGGCTGGTGACCCCCCTAAAACCTAGGGCCCAGTGACACCCCCCCAGGGTCTGGTACATTCAAGGGGGGAGCCGGCTCCCCTGACGTGCAAATAAAGGGGCCCAGGGCCCTGCCCAGTCAGCAGCAGTGGGGTACGGGGTCCAAGCCCCAAGCACTCTCCTCTTAAGTGGAGAAAAGGGGGGGATGGGGCTAAGCCCACTCAATTCCTGTTAAGGGGAAGCTGTGCCTCTCTCCAGAAGATGGGACAGGCACAGTTTTGGGGAAGAGAACATGTTGGGGAAGAAGGTGGTCATGTGATCACAAAAGCATCAAGGGTCAGAGGTCACGTTCCCAGCAGGCTCCAGTGAATCAAACCAGTAAAAGCAAAAGCCCAAGGAGGGGGAAGCAGGGCGGCCTGGGAAGTCTGGCTGTGGGGGGAGAGCTGGGTCCCCGTGCGAGAGCTCCAGCCCAGGGCTTGTCACCAGTTCATGATGCAGTTGCGGTTCAGAGTCATGAAGTAAACTTGGCTGCTGCCCCCAGAGCGGACGGAGGCAAAGAATACCTGGGGGGGGGGGGGGGGGGGAGGAGAAGTCACCAAGGGATTGGGGCGGGGGTTTCAATTACTTGGGAGAGGGAGAAAGAAACTGCAGTTTAGTCTCTCAGAATAATCCCAGGCCGCCCTGACCAGGGTTGGTAAGTGGTTAGAGCAATGGCCCACGCAACAAAGAGTCGCAGGGCCGATTCCTGGTCAAGGGCACATACCTGGGTGGCAGGTTCAATCTTCTGCATGCAGGAGGCAACCAGTTGATGTGTTTCTCTCTCCACCCCCACCCCCTCTCTAAAAATCAATGGGGAAAAAAAAACACCCTTGGGTGAGGATAACCCCCCCAAAAAGAAAGAACTATTCCTATCCCCCTGAGGGGCAGACCTCTGGGTGAAAGGACCTGGGAATTCTCAGAAACAGGTGGGGGGAGGGAAAGGGCGGCTGTGACTGCGTGTGTGCTCCCCAAGGGCCCCTTTCAGAGACTCCACCATGGTCACCTCCTTGTAGGAACCTGAGGTTCGGAAGCCAGACCAACGCAGGCCCCGGCCCTTTCCAGGGGCGAAGGGCTCCCACCTTGTCATTCCGCTCACACAGGAACTTGAGCCTCTGAGCTCGTTTGTGCATGAAGACCCCGTCCAGGTGTCCCGTCTCCACGGAGCGGATCTCGATGGCTTTCTCGCCCCAGCCCATTATCTGGTTGGAGCAGATGTAGGCTGGGGGAGAAAGAAGTTGAGGGGCAGTGAGTGGACTGCGGCCCAGGCCCACCTAGGGCCGGCTCGGGGACAAGCACCACTCACCCACGGAAGTGGGCATCTCTCCCCACTGCAACACCACGTCCTTGATGATCCGCCCGTACGTGTTGACGTAGACGCCCTCGTCCTCGTAGCACAGCAGCATCTCCATGCCGTCGGTGTTGGGGAGGAAGATGATGGCGTGGGGCGTGATCTGGCTCTGGATCTGGGAGGAGGGCTGGAGTCCCTGAGTCTGCAGCCCAGGCTGGCGGCCCCCCTCTGCCCACAGTCCGGGTGAGCTTACGTGAACAGGGATGTAGATGTCATAGCTGTTCCCCGAGTCGACATCCACGGCGTGGAAGCCAGCGCTGGAGCCATAGATGACTTTGAGCCGCTGGCCCTCCTCGACCGTCAGGTCCACCAGCAGAGGGCGGTGAGGCAGGTCAGCAAAGGACTGCGGAGGAAAGGAGGGATCAGGGGACACAGGTGGGGGAGTCAGACCCCGGAACGGTGTTGGGGGGGCTAAGGCTGGGATTACCTTGAAGGCCATGAATTTGTGGTAAGGTTTGGGGGCCCAGGCATACACCTCTACGGAATTCTTCAGGGCGATGACCAGGAACTTAATACGTTCGTATTTCACTGGGGGCAGGAAAGAAGAGGGATGCTGGGACTTCCCTTCTTGGGGCTGCGGGGCCCCTCCCACAGGTCTGTCACTGCACCCCCAGTGCCAGGCCCCACGTCTCTGGCTTCATGACCATTAAGCCCGAACCCTCATCTCTTCTCAGAAACAAACGTGCCCTGGCCACTCTGCTGTGACCTCCTCACCAACGCGGTAGTGCCCGCAGCCCTCCATGTCCCCCACGGTGGTCCAGCCCTGCTTCTTCTCCACTTCCGGGTCGTTGTGCAGAATCTTGTTCCGGAGCCAGGACAGGTAATACACGCGCAGTTTGTTCCTTTTCCCTGAGGGGCGAGGACACACACACACACACCCTCTCTTCGTTGGAGATCCAGATTCTGCCTCCCGCCTTCCTTTTCTGCATACCACAAGGGGTGAGAAAGCGGCCCCACCTTCCGGCTCCTGGACCAAGGTTGCCCTCTGCCCAGGCTGAAGATGGTGACAGAGAGCCACGGAGCTGAGCCCCCTCCTCCGGGCCCTGTCCCCGCCCCCGTGCCCCACACACACACCTGAGATGGTGATGAGCAAGTTGAGTCCTTCCAGCACATCCATTTGCTGGAAGCGCCGCCGCCCAATGAGTCCGTACACCTTGCCCTGCCCGCTGCGGTCCAGCAGCATCAGCCCGTTCTCCGTGCCCACCAGCAGGTTGACGCCTGCAATGGGAGCCCTTGGGCAGATCAAGAGGCGGAGCCAGGCCCTCACCCGACCAGGAGCAGAGGGGCACACAGATCCCTCTTTTCCTCCCCAGCCCTGGCTTACCCCAAAGGGCCGCGCAGAGGATCTCGGAATTGAATCGCTTCTTGTACTTGCGAATCTCGGGGGTCTCACTGTGGGCCCGGGTGTTGGTGGGGTTCACGTTGACCACAGAGCCTTTCCGCACATCGTACTGCAGCTGATCAAGCCGACTGGCCTCTCCGCCCACGAGGGCTGCAGGGGGAGAGAAGCGGGGTGGGCTGCGTCCCCTCACCCTGTCTCTTCTTACTCTACCCTCACACTCAGTCTCGCTCCTCTGAACACTCAGAGGGAAAGAGAGACCAGAGGCTGGAGGAGGTGCACGAGGGAGCTGAAACAGCCAGAGGCCTGCAAACTGATCCTCCCGTCCCGGGGGCCCCTGTGCTGCTGAGCACGTTCCTCTCGGGTTAGAGGGTCAGGGGCTCTTGCGGCCTCGGTGCAGGGCAGTACTCAGGGGAGGGGAGGCGGTGATGCTTTATGAACCGCATCACCGGGCTTCCCCTTTGCCCTCTCCAGGCCTCCTGGCAGCGCCGTCCCCCATCCTCACCTGTGATAGGGATGGTGTCCCCACTGCCTCCGGACTGGTAGATGCCCAGGTCCACAAACATCGTGAACGAGCTCTTGCCAGGAGCCTTCACCAGCCCACGAGACTGGTACTGTGGGGGGTGGAGTGGTGGTCAGGCAAACACGTGAGACCCCGGCCTGAGGCCCCTCTTCTATTGTTGGCCCCATGTGCCCTCAGGGGAACCCTGGCCCAGGTGCTCTGCCCGCCCAGCGCAGTAACCCCTAAACACCCCCTGATCTGCCCACTGCCAGTGCCCTCCCCTCGTCCCATGGACCTGCCTGCACCCACTTACATCGCTGCCTCCATCCTTCATGGGGGGGCTTTGACCTTTGCTGTTTTCAGTGGGCGAGTGGCTGGGCTGGACCACGTCGGGCAGGTTAGTGTAACCGTTGCTGTCGGCATGCAGCAGGCTTCGCTCCTCTTCGGGTGTCTGAAGGAACAGAGGGGAGGGGGCCAGTGCTAGGGCCAAGGAGGGTCACAGCAGGTGCTGGGAAGAATGGGGTGCCAACTCACACGCTGGACCACCATGGTGCCACCCCCATAGGTGGTGGGGGTCCCGGTGTTCTCCTCCACGTCATGGACCACCATGGTGCTGACGCTGTCTGTGTCCCCATCGCTGCTATGGGAGAGAGGGAGGTCTGAGGCCCTCCAGGTCCCGCGTGCCACCCAGGTACCATGGCAGCAGGCGAGAGCAGGAGGCCTAGCGCTTTCGGCTTCAGACTCTATTCAAAACACGATGCACTCAGCCCCTATGAGCAACCTTGACCCACTGCTGCGTGTCCTGGGCCCCGCACTTGGGTTGGGGAAGGCTGGTGGTACGGAGATACCCAAAGAGTCCACCGCCCTACTGACAGCACAACGGGAGAGAGAGAAACACCCGTCTCATGTCCCTTCTCTAGAGAAAGAAAGGAATCACTCACCAGCAGTGACACCAGGGTTCCCCACAGATTTGGCCCAGAGGTCCCCCTCCCTGGAACCCACAACCCTTCTCTGGGTGCCTCTGATGTGGGCGTGCCACCGCCCCCAGGGAGCCCCATACCGGGTCCCAGGGGTGTCTCTGCTCCCTTCTGATGGTTCGCCATTGCTTTCCTCCTCGTCGTCCTCACTGCTCTCCACCTCCTCACTGGATGAGGAGTAGTCCATGGCCTTCTTGGGAGGCCGTGGGGCCTCATCCAGGGTCCGCTCTTTCAGCAACACAAAATCCTGCAAGGGAGGAGCCGTGTGAGGGGGGTGGGGGGGGCGGCAGTAAAGGATGTCTAAGGAGAAGGGGCAGGGTCACAGGAGGGCTCCCGCAAGCAGGCCCCTTCTCACTAACCTCACCAATGGCTCGCTTATAGCTCTGGGAGGGGCCGCAGGGGAAGGACGGCCAGGAGAGGCAGGAGAGAGGTTAAGAAAGGTTAGTAACGGAGAAGTACATCTGTAATCCCGCAGCCGCCCCCCTCAGGCAGGTTAATGAAGGCCCACGCCCCAGGACCCAAGCTTAAGAGGCTCCAAGCTGGCCCCAAAGTCACAGACCAGAAGGCAGGGCCACAGCTGCCACCTGCCGACTTACTGCGGGCCGGCCTGGCCGCGAGCGGTGGTCCTCAGGCTTGGCTTTGTTCCCAGGGGACAGCACTGGGGAGCTGTCCAGTTTGGAAGAGGCTAGATGGGGCACAGTGGGAGAAGGGGGGTCACTGACACCGAATGAGGGTGACCTTGAGCCCACACCATGGGCTGAGACCAGGGCCTGAGCCCGGGAGCTCTTGGAGACACACTCCACACCCAGCCCAGGCCCCACCCTACCCCTGAGGATGTCTCAGTCCCTGCCCTGATGGAGACTGTGTCCAGGCCCCGAGCAGGCTGCCAGGCCCACTCACTCACATACCTCCCACACGGTTCCGCTCCAGAGAGCCGGCCTGGGGAAGGTGCCCGTGAGAGGCGGGGAGGACACTGTCCGAGCGCTCCCAGCCAGGGTCGCTCCTTCTGAGGTCGGGGTTGCTGTGGGAGAGCAGAGACGGGGTCAGGGTGACAAGGTGCTCCCCTCCCTGGGGGCTGAGCTGCACTGCAGAGGGAGCCATCACCAGAGGAGGCAAGTAGGTGGCAGAAGTGAGGGTGGGAGTGAGTGAGGGGACAACTCCATTTACCTACAGGCGTTGGGCGGGCCAGGGGGCTGAGCAGGGGGCCCTGGAGGCTTGGGGCTCCCCCGCTCCGCCCTCCTTTGCAGATAGATTTGCCAGGCGGAGTTGCTGCGAGGTCTGTGAAGGGAGCACAGAGGTGCCGGGGGGCAGGGGCGGGGAGGGGGCTGAGGTGACTGGGTCGGGGCTTGCCCACCCCTAAGCGGGTAACCTGGCAAACTCCCCTCTGTCCCCCGCCCCGCTCCCTAGCCTGCCACCCAACTTTGCTCTGCTCAGGTGTTACCTGGCACGGACAGCCTGGGCTGGCCGCGCCCCTCCGGCCCCACTGGTGTTAAGGGCAGTGGCAATAGATGAGGTCCTCTGAGGCACCTGAGGAGAGAAGGGGGTCAGTGAGCTGGGAGCCAGCTCTGTGCTGGAACCACAAACATTCATCCTCGCTGAGGCTCACAGCGTGCTCTCCTGGCCTTTATGAAGTCAGCTAAGCTCAAGGAAGCGGATGAATCTGTTCAGAGTCATGAAGCTAGAAAGTGGCAGAGCTGGGATCCCAACCCACACGGTCATCCGCCAGAATTCCCTAAAACCTTGGGCATCCTTCCACGCACACACTCACACGGGACCACCCGCTGGGATCACGACACATTCATGGGCCCAGACAGTAACCCCGTCAGGACGGCAGCTGTGGTGGATGACTGGTCTTTCTCTTGCCTTCCAACCCCAAACCCATCCCCACCTCGCTGCTCCCTCCCCTCTCCTCCATTCTGTCTCTTACTGTAGTTGACCCTTGAATAACATGGATTTGAACTGCACAGGTCCACTTATACACAGATTTTTCTCAAGAAACCGGCACAACACTGTAAACATATTATTTTTTCCTTATAACTTTCTTAATAATGTTTCCTTTTCTCTAGCTTCTATAATATGGATGACATACAAAATTATGTGTTAATCAACTTCATGTTACTGGTAAGGCTTCTGGTCAATAATAGGCCATTAGTAATTTAGTTTGGGGGCATTTAAAAGTTACACTTAGCCCGGCCAGTGTGGGTCAATGGTTGAGTATCAACCCATGCACCAAGAGGTCATGGATTTGATTGCCAGTCAGGCCACATGCCCAGGTTGCGGGCTCAATCCCCGGTTGGGAGCATGCAGGAGGATCAATGTTTCTCTCTCATCAATGTTTCTATAACTCTCTCTCCCTTCTCCCTATCCCTTCCTCCCTCTCTAAAAAGCAATAAAAACATATTTTTAAAAAGTTACACATAAATTTTTGACTGTGTGGAAGTCAGTGCCCCTAACCTCCATATTGTTCAAGGGTCAACTGTGTTTTGTGCTCTTTCCTGGTCCCACAGGCCTGTCCTTACCTTGGGTGGGGCCTCATGATCCTGCCGGACCCAGGCTGGGGGGTTCGGGCTGGGGCCAGGCGCTTCCGAGGTAGGGTCTGAATTCTGGCGGATGACAGCTCCTCGGGCACTGGGCGTGGCAGTGGGTGTGGGGGCGGCAGGGTCAGGGTCATGAGAGGCTGGGAAGGCAGCCAGGTTTCGGGTGGGCTGGTCCTGCAGGGACTGGGATCGGGGTACAGGCGCTGCATATGGCTTCAGTGGGACCCGGTGTGCCACCAGGCTCTGCAGGGAGAGACCAGGGAGGGTAGGCTGCCCACTCTGTGCACATCCCCACCTGTGAGCCGGGGCCTGGGCTGAGAGGAAGGGGCAAGTAAAGCCTCCAGCTTCCAATTACCCATCAAGTGAAAGGGGCTCCCGGAGCCCAAGAACAGGCAAGATGTGGGAAAAGACATGCAGCAGCAAGCAGGCGATGTCTCCGCCCATGTATCTATCATGAGGCCGCGATCCCTGGCTGAGGATGTGTCTGTGTGCGCGTGTCCCCGCGCTGACTGAGGCTCCCTCTGTCTGTGTTAAGGCAGGAGTGGGAAGAAACTCACCTTGTGCGGTCCCTCCTGGGGCTCCACCGGCCTCTGCATAGGAGGAGTTTGGGAAAGGGGTCCTGGGGGCCCAGGGGAGGCCTGAGAAACAGGGGGCTCAGGCCCTGCGCTGCTCGGCTTGGTCTTGGCCAAGGGAGAGTTCTGCTGCTTGTTCATCCTTGTTCTCTCCTCTACCTGTGATTCAAAAGGGTGCTAAGCAGGGCAGCTTTTGCTTCACTGTCCTCAAAACGTTAAGTCCCCGTCTGCCCCACTGCACCAGCCCTCATGCCTGAGTGGTCCCCTTTCCCCTTCTCAGTGTCGGCCAGTGCGGGATGACCACTTCTTACAGCTCAGGCCTCGGGCAGAGGGACTGGGAGGACAGTGTCTTGGGCTGTAAGGAGGCAGTGAGTACCTCTCGGGCCCAGGCTGGCTTGTCGGCAGGGTTAATGCCCCGACCATAATGGTACAGGGGCTTCCTGTCCCCAGGAAGGATCTGCTGCTGTTGCTGCTGCTGTTTTTGCAGCTGCTGCTGCTGCTGCTGCTGCTGCAGGGACTTGAGGTAGGCGTGCTCCTGCTGCAGCTGCCTCTGCAGGCGCTCTGACTGCCGCTGCTCCTCCAGCTGCTTCCGCTTGTATTCCTGGGCCCAAGGGTAGGAAGAGGGGGCTCAGCAAGATGTAGCCCTGGAAGTTAGAGGTGGCATGCCCTTTCTTTTCTCCTGCCTAGAGAGATGTCTCCCCTGATGCCTGGGCGAGTCCCTTCCCCTGAAGTGCTCCCATCCCATTCCATTCTGGCAGAGCAGCTCTGATACACGTCTTCCCGGAGAAAGCTGGGGGACCCCGTTACCAGCAGTAGGGCCTGTTCCTGGAGCAGCTGTTGCTGAAGGATCTCGAGCTGTCGCTGCTCCTCCTCTAGCCTGTGACGAATATATTCCTGGGGGGTGGGGGTGGGGTGGGGGCAAAGGGCGGGGAAAGAGGAAAAGGCGGCGGCGGCGAAGGAGTTGGAGAAAGAGGCGGGTCGGTGGGGTGAGGATGAGGAGAGCAGGGAAGAGCAATAGAGAGGACGGGGGTGGGATGAGCCCCGAAGGGGCAGGAAATGAGGCGGAAGTCAGGGTGGACGACCCATGAGGGAAAGTGCAGGGGAGAGGGGTCAGGGTGGGCAAAGAGATGGGGAATGAAGGCACAGAGACAGGAGGAGGGCAGGGAGCCAGGGTTGGGGGTTGAAGGGTGGGAGAAAACAGAGAGAAAGAGTGAAGCTAGAAAAGATAGGAGGAATCTAGGGGTAGGGAAAGAAGGGGGAAAGGGTATCGGGGAGCAGGGACGCAGGCAGCAGGAGCGGGCAGGGAGGCCGGGGGAAGGGAGGGGTGTGTGCAGTGTGCGCTGGGGGCCTGTACCTGCTCCCGCTCTGCTTGCCGCCTCTCCTCCTCCCGCCGCAGGGCCTGCATGTCCTCCAGACGCCGTTGCTGTTCCTTCTCCTGCATCTTCCGCTGTTCCCGCTCCCGCCGTTGTTGCTGTGGGTGAGAGAGGTGTGGTCTTAAGGACTGCACACTCAGACAGCGCGGGAAGGGGAAGCCCAGCCCACTTCGGGCCTCTTCTGGAAAGGCGACCCTTTCAGGACAGTTCTCCTTCTCACCTGGGATGACGGTGAGAGAGAATGGCTTCAACTTGGGGAGCTTAGCTTGGGGAAATTACTTGTCCAACGTGGCTGGGAGCTTGGAACCAGAGACTAAGCAGCTGGATACGCATGCTGCCCTTGGAGTGGGCTGAATTGGATAACACCTTCTCCTACCCATTTGCCCATCAAAAACCAGAGTCAACAACGTTCCTGGCCTCTCAAAACCACCCGCCTGTAAACCCAAAAGCAGTGGGCTGTAATGATGGCCTTTGGCCGCAAGAGAGCAGCAGGTGCCCAATGCACAAAGCACAACCCGGAGGAGAGGGATTTGGCCAGGTCCTTAGCAAACAGAAGCTCAGGTTGCATTTTACTTTCACAACCTTTCTGACCAAAGAGTCTGCCCCAATAAAAGAGAAAAAGATCTCTATTAAAATGAACTTCTCCCTCCCACCTGACAAGAGTGTACTTTCCAACAGAGCTAAGCTGACACAAAAGTAAAAGGTGGTTCTTTAGAAAACACCTTCCATGCTCAGAAACAGAAAGGAAGGAAAAAAGCTAAGCCCTTCGGGCCATCACAGTGGGGGCCCACCTCCACAATGAGGGGGCGGCAGGCCTGCTCCAGGGAACACGCGCTAGACACAACTCTGTCCCTCCACTGCCTGAAAACAAGATTTACCGTGTTCTCTTGTAGCAGGCGTTCTTACAAATTGTTCTTTTTCAACAAAGACTAGGGCCTGCTTTGAGGAGCAAGTTCATAGACAGTGTGGATGCTACTATTAATTTTTTTGTTAAGCCCAGCTCTGTGAACTTGGAAATCATGTAATTGTTTCAACAGAAAGTTCAACACGTAAGGCGGTGGTCGGCAAACTCATCAGTCAACAGAGCCAAATATCAACAGGACAACGATTGAAATTTCTTTTGAGAGATGAAAACCGACTTCTGGGCATGGCCCACGAAGTTTCAATCAATCGCACTGTACCTGCGCGCTCACACATGGTATTTTGTGAAAGAGCCACACTCAAGGGGCCAAAGAGCCACATGTGGCTTGTGAGACGCAGTTTGCCGACCACTGACGTAAGGCATCTTTAAAACCAACCTATAGCCGAAACCGGTTTGGCTCAGTGGATAGAGCGTCAGCCTGTGGACTGGGGGGTCCCGGGTTCAATTCCGGTCGGGGGCATGTGCCTTGGTTGCGGGCACATCCCCAGTGGGGGGTGTGCAGGAGGCAGCTGATTGATGATTCTCTTTATCGATGTTTCTAACTCTCTGTCCCTCTCTCTTCCTCTCCGTAAAAAATCAGTAAAATATATTTAAAATAAAGTAAAATAAAACCAACCTATATCTTGCCTTTCCCACCATGGCCCCCTGCAAAATAAATACAATTAAATAGATATGCATAGAAAAAGTAAATATGCATATAAATCTTTTTAAAATGGTGCTGTTAAAAAAAACAAAACTGTAGCTATTTAAAAATAGGATTCTCAATTAAAATGAATTTCTCCCACCTACCTCCAGTAATTCTGACTGACAAGACGGTACTTTCCAGCAAATCTAAGCGCCCCCCCCCCCCCCAACAATTAAAAGTAAAAGGAGGGTAAAGAAAAGGCTCCTCTTCATGTTCAGACTAAACAACTGCTTATCAGTCAGATGCTCGGGGCTAGAAGTATGTGTACACAGAGCCCCGCTCCCAGGGCCAGACAACCCTGGCTGGAGGTTTGTGGACACAAGGACAGGGACAGTCCTGTCTGTGGGGAGCCAGTGCGGCTTTTCAGAAATGGCTCTGCTCCGAAGGGACGCGGACAGCGCCACCATTCACTCACACAGGGCTGACGGGCGGGCAGTGCATGTGGGGACTGGCCTCCCACAGGACAGACCCTGTTTAACCAATGCTGAACCAAGGGGGTCGGGAAGCCCCGGCTGGCTCCCCGTCCTCCCTGTTGTCCTGATGGGAGCAGGGATGGGACCGGGAGGGGCGCCGAACCAGGCCTGGCGGGCGCTCCCAGGACCCCCACCTCCTCCACACGCCGCCGCTCTTCCTTCTGCTCCTCGATGCGGCGCTGCCGCTGGTGCAGCAGGTGTTTGATGTGCGCCTCGGGGTCTCGCTGCTGCTGCTGCTGCAGCTGCTGCTGCTGCTTTAAAGCCTCCGAGTTGCTCTTATTCTCCTGCTGGAGCCGGAGGAACTCGCGGCGTAGCGTGGACTCGCCGGGCACGTTCATGATGGAGCTGGGTCAGGGTGGCACAATAAGGGGGGGAGGGGGAGGGGGGGTCAGAACCCAGCCACTTCCCACTTTCACGCCTGGGAGCCACCCGAGCAGGTGCTCTGCCTGGACCAGACAGTCTGCCTGCGGGCACTCTCTCCTGCCCAGTCTTGTATTCTAGCAACATCCCAGCCTGCAGCCCTGAATCACCCTCTCCCCACTTCTTTTTATTTTTTTTTTAATACGTTTTATTTATTTTTTTTCTTTGAGAGGGAGAGAAATATGGACTGGCTGCCACCTGCATGCCCCTACTGGAACCAAGCCCACAATCCAGGCATGTGCCCTGACCAGGAATCAAACCAGCGCCCATTTGGTGCACGGAACGACATTCAACCAACCAGGCCACGCTGGCCAGGGCTCTTGCCACCTCTTGCTCATTCACTCCATTTCTTCTCAGCACTCAGAGATTGTTTTATGGGTCTCTAACCCACCATCCCCAGGCTGAGAGTCCCTCTAATGTCCCCTCGGACGAAAAGTGAGGCCCCCAACTCCACCTGCCAAGCCCACCTTGGTTCTCCTTCCTCTCCATGGCTGTCATCTTCCTCTTCGCTGCCGCTGTACTCATATTCTGTCTCCTCTGCAGGGGGGAGATCACTGCTGTTTCTTCACCCAGTGCCCCAGACCCCACCCTGGGCTAGGAAAACCTTAGACGGGGACAACCAATAAGATCTGTCTGGATGGCCACGCACCTGGGTCCCTGCCCACCTCCTTGGAGCAATGGAATGGCGGTGGGTCTCAGGTTTGGGCCGGGACAGACATGGGGATTAGACCCAATAGTAGGTGGGATGTGACTAAATGTGCGCATGCACTCACAAATGAATGTGCTCAACAGGACACTTCTGTAAGGATGTAAAAGGGCCACACTCATTTGGACGGCTGGTTTGAATTGGTGGTATGAGAGAAGGCACTCTAGGGTTGAAAGCCTGGGAATGGAGATGTCTTCGGATGGGGACAGCTAGGGTGCGGGAGAGGTGCCCGAATGAGAGCAAGGAGGAGCCAGGGCTGGTGAAGAGGAGCAAGGGCTGAAGTGTGTCCGGACCCACCACCCCTGCTTCCCCCACTGACCTTTCTCGCCTCGCTTCTTCCGAGATCGGTCGATGTGGTCCTTGAGCTGGATGCGGACCTGCCGCTCTGTGGGCTGGTCGCGGATGAAGGGGAACTTTAGCAGCTGCTCTGTTGGTGGGCGGCTCAGGTAGGTCTTGATGAGACATGTGTCAATGAAGTCGATGAACTTCTTGGACCTGGAAGCAATGGCTCACACTAGGAGGGCCCCCTTGGAAGAGGGTGTCACAGGAGGAAGAGGGGAGATGGTTCATCAAAAAGCCACTTCAGGCCGGGGAAGAGATCAACCAAAGGACTTGTATGCATGTATATGAGCATAACCAAAGGACACAGGCAGTAGGGGGGTGAGGGCATGTGCTGAGGGGTGGAAGTGGCTGGGGAGAGGTCAATGGGGGGAAGGGGGAGAGGAAAAGTTATGTAATACTTCAAACAATAAAGAATTTAAATTAAAAAAAAAAAAAAGGCCACCTGGACTTCCCTTCTGTATTCTCCATACCCCAACACCAGCGCCCCTAATGCTCTGGCTGCAGTACCAGCCTCTCCCAACGCCTCTTGTAAGGTGCAGGCCCAAGCCTGACCCCAGGGGGTTATGGTGGAGGCGGCCTTGTCCAGAGACCTTCCTAGACACCAAATCCCCAGAGACCTACCATTTCTTGGACTTGAGCCTGGGTGGTGGGTTCCGAGGGATGAGGAAGAGGGCTCGCATGGGATGCATGTCACACAGAGCTGGGACACGGAAGAGACCATCAGCCCCTTGGCCACGCGGAGAGCCTACAGGAGCCCTTCTCACCAGGACCCCCCAAAGCCCACCTCTTCCCTACAGCCCCTTTTTGGGCCCTCCCTTCTCTCCCAGACTCCGCACTTACGGGGGGCGCCCTCTGCCATCTCAATGGCTGTGATTCCTAGAGACCAGATGTCACTCTACAGAGGAGGAAAGAAGGGACAGGTGAATGCTCCTGGTGGCTCTCCTCACCTACAATCCCTGGTCTCTTCAGAACCCCTTGCTGGACAATCCCTTCCTGAGGCCCCTCCTCTAACCCTGCACGTCCTCCAGCTTACCCAACATTGCCATCCATACCTCCCTGCCACAAAACGTTCCCAATCCTCATAGCCAACACATAATTAGACCTTCATTTTTGTCCCCCAAGCTGCTTCAGTCCCTGATATTTTCAATCTACCCATTACCCCCATTTCACTTCCTGCCTTGGCTGCCCCAGGCTGCACACTCTCTGGTCCATACCCTGTAATCATAGGTGGCATCGGGGTTCTCATCACAGGCGATGACCTCCGGGGCCATCCAGTAGGGGGTCCCAATGAAAGTGTTTCGCCTTCCCACGGTGCGGTCCAGTTGAGCACTCACCCCAAAATCCACTGAGAAGACATGAAGAGAGGGGTCATAGCGGTGTCATATCTGCTCCCCTCATCCGGGACCCAGCATGGGCATGACCCAAGGCAGCTGAGGTCCTGGCTCTACCTAGACACTCCCCGCAACATCTCCCATCCCATCAACACCTGACCTAGTCTCCCTGCCTCTTGGGAAAAACCAAAGTGAAAAGACAACACCTCAAATAAAAATATCCCAGCTCTCCAGAGGGGCCTGCACAGCACTGGGACACAGCAGACAGCAGGGCATCCCAGGGGAGGGAATGGGAAAGCAAGCCTCCCAGCCTACAGGCTGTGGGACTTAAGCCTCCAGAGGGGAAAAGGGGCCTCTCGCCCTGGAGGTGAGAGGGCCCGTCCACCCAGAAGGAACCAGCGCACCTAGCTTGACCTCGGCATTCTCTGTCAGCAGCACGTTCTGCCCCTTGATGTCTCGGTGAATCACCTTGTGGGCGTGGAGATGGGCCAGACCCTGGGCAGAGAGTGGGGGAATTAGGTTTGGTATTGGAGGAAGGGGGAAGGAGCGAGAATATGGATTGACTGAGAGGGTAGGGAGGTCCCAGAGAGTGTGCAGCACGGGGCTGGGGTGAAGAAGCAGTCCCTCTCCACCATGTGCCCAAAGTACAGGCTGAGATTTCCTGGAGTTTCCTCAGCGTGGTGGCTCCTGGGAATTCCCAGGTGTAGGTTGCAAGTGGAGAAATAGCAGAGCTTGGGAACTGAAGCCCTGGTCTCCAACAGTTTGAGTCCTCAAGGTTAAGACTCAGTCTTTAGCCTCCAACCCCATCAGGCCACCTGCTCCGTTAAAGAGGGCATAGCCCTAGCCAGTTTGGTTCAGTGGCTAGGGTGTCCGCCTGCAGACTGAAGGGTCTCAGGTTTGATTCTGGCCAAGGGCACATGCCCGGGTTGTGGGCTTGATACCATCCTCAGTAGGGGGTGTGTAGGAGGCAGCCAATCAATGATTCTCTCTCATTAATGTTTCTATCTCTCTATCCCTCTCCCTTCCTCTCTGAAATCAATAAAAATAAATTAATTAGCCAAAACCGGTTTGGCTCAGTGGATAGAGCATCGGCTTGTGGACTGAAAGGTCCTGGGTTTGATTCCGGTTAAGGGCATGTACCTTGGTTGAGGGCACATCCCCAGTAGGGGGTGTGCAAGAGGCATCTGGTCAATAATTCTCTCTCATCAATGTTTCTAACTCTCTATCCCTCTCTCTTCCTCTCTATAAAAAAATCAATAAAATATATATATATATTTAAAATAATTAATTAATTAATTTAAAAAAGAGGGCATAATTCCATTTCCTCCTCAGGGCAGGGGGTCCATGCCCAGGGAGAAGCTCCAGTGGGGGTGGCCCAGGAGCAGGAGGCATGGGGGGCCCGGCGCTCACCCGCAAAATCTCCCTGCAGATGTAGGCGATGCAGTCCTCCTTCAGCGCATTCCCTTTTGTATTCTTCACCAGGTCCGTCACGGAGCCAGCACCACAGAACTCCATTACCAGCTGCAGTCCCAGGGAGATGGGAAGGAAAAGTAGCGGTTAGGCAAGGCCCCTCGCCCCTGCCAGCTCCCTGGAGGAGAACCAGAGGCCTTGGGGTCAAAACTGGTATAAGTTGAAGGGTAGGGGCCACATGCCTCTCTCACAAAGGCCACAGAACTTCCTGAGATTAGGGGGAAAAGGGGAAGGAAATACAGTCAGAAAAGATAGAGAGGGTGGGTTTGGGGACATGGTCTTTGTCCAGAGTAGGAGCCCAAGGAATCCCTGAAATTATAGACAAAATGAGGGATCCAATGTGCTCATCAGATCCTCTTTGGATGTTATCATAAGCCCTCCCTGCTCTAGAGCAGGGTCAGCAAACTACGGCCAATGAGCTAAGCATGTTTTCACATTTTAAAATGGCTGAAAAGAAGAAAAAGAGGATCACATGACATGCAAATTAGTGTCCTAAATAAAGGTCCTGGGGAGACGGTAATGCCCACTCATTTATATATTGTCTATGGTTGCTTTCATGGTCCAATGGCTGAGCTGAGTAATTTCAGACAATATGACCCACAAAGCCCCAAATATTTACTCTCTGGTCCCCCACAGAAACAGTTTGCCGAGCTCTCATCCTGAGTCAAGAAAGGAGCTAGAACCAGCAATTCTCCAGGCTGCTAGAGACAACAATACACAGGGTCTACCAGAGAGCTGAGGGAACCTGGTAGCGTTCTGGGGGAAACTCCACAAGCAGAGGAGAGACTAAAGTGGGGAGATGAGGAGAGCTCCCTGTGCCATCTCTGGGGAAGAACCAGAAACCCAGAGGCAGGTGACAGGCATGTCTGTGGAAATGTTTTCATTGTACTTTTCTAAAAGCCACACCCAACACAGAAAAAGGTTGGAAGATATGTGTACATTTGCATATGCAAAAATAATTTACATATGCTCCACATCTGAGTATAGCATAGTGGGAGGACAATGTCCAACAGGTCCAGAAGGGGGCGCCTGGTCACCAGCACCTAACCTTTAGTCCTCAAGGATCTCTCACTAGGTACAGTTGGCAGGTAAACATCTCTAACCCATTACTCACTTTCCTTTGTGTGTATGAAATATGAATGTGTGACAGAGTGTGTGTGCGTGCGCACGCGCACGCCTTCAAAAAGACTACTGCATAGAAACAGGAACCATGATTCATACTTATCTATGCAGGGTATGCAGAAAGTGCTAAATAAATACTCATCTGGCAACTGCTGCAAGGGGAGACCTGGCATAAGCACCAATCCCCTGCTGCCCCCCACCCCACCTTGCCCAGCCACTGCCATGTTCCCTGCTGCTCTGTCCTTGGGTATGGCTGAGTACCAGAGAGGGTGAGGCTGAGGAATCAGCTGGCATCAGTGCCCAGGTAGGGAGGGTGAATGACCTAGAAGTATTCTGGGCTAGGAGGGAATTTTGGGGAGACCAAAAGAGCAGCAGTTAGTTCTGGTTAGAACAATCACCCAGAGGCTTGTACCCTGCCCGGAGGGGTCCAAGCTCTATCTGTCGCCTACCACAGAGTTTGGTCTGCTACCTTCCTAGTGGCTGTGCCAGTGCAGGAGAACTGTCAACTAACCTCTCTGTGGTCTTTCCCAGCCCTTGCTTGATACTTAGAAGTGCCTGTTGGACACAGGGTAAGGTATCGGTTAGGGCAAAGGTGTGTATTGGGAGGGGGAGAGGGGAGGGAGCCCAGAACCCCTGCCACCAAAATGCCCAGAGAACAAGAGACTGCAAAGTGTGGGTCAGGAGGTCCCTCAGTCCATACACAGGAGAGGCTGTGGGACTGAAGAGAGGGCTGCCCAGGAGACTCTGGGTACTGACGCTGAGTTCCAAACAAGCAGCCTGAGACAGAAAGGGCACGGAGGGGCAGGGGCAGGCCAGAGGCACTCTCACCCAGAGCTGGTCATCGTTCCCAGGGGGGCTCTTCTTGATGAAGGCTCCATAGTAGGTGGCAATGTTGCGGTGGTGAGAGTATTTTTTCAACATGTTGATCTCCTGCTTGATCTCTTCTTCCTCATCCTGGGTGAATGGGAGAAGGTGAGCCCCGACTTCAATGCTCCAATCCCCTCTGCCCCATTCCACTTCTTACCTCCGTGACATCCATGACCTTGATGGCAGCCAGCTGCCCCGTCTTGACGTGCCGACCCTGTGCACAGCAAGGCAAACATAGAGGGGTCTGGGTCATGCTCCCGGAGGGTGAAGCCATACCTCTTGGCTTTTTCTATCTTAGAATATGCCCCTCATGGTGGCTAGACACCTCAATTTATTGGTTAGTCACAGGACTAACAGTGGGCTACAGAAAAACTGCCAAGACTGGATTTCCAAACTCTGTGCTTGGTAAAAAATGAAGGGTCTGCTCCCTTCATACTCATGCATCCCTGGCTTGTTCTTCCTAGTTTGAAAGTTGGAGTGGGGAGTCAAGGATACCTTCTCCATCCTCAGATGGAGCTGGAGGGACCTGGGAAAGATGCTGAGGAGGGAGGGCCTTTGCCTCTCTTTGCATCTTCTATGCAACACAAGCTCCCTTTGGATAGGAGGCTGTTTCCCAGGATCCCCCTTAGCCCCCCCTCCCAACTCCAGGCTTTTTATTTTGTTGACAGGAAAGAATTAAGATAGAGCTGAACTTGCTGGTGTGACTCAGAGGATGAGCATAAACCCAGGAAGCAAGAGGTCACTAATTCGGTTCCGGTCAGGTCAGGGCACATGGCCGGTTTGCAGGCTCGATCCCCAGTAGGGGGAGTGTAGGAGGCAGTTGATAGATGATGTCTCCCCCCCCCCCCCTTTAAATATATTTTATTGATTTTTTACAGAAAGGAAGGGAGAGGGATAAAGAGTTAGAAACATCGATGAGAGAGAAACATCAATCAGCTGCCCCCTGCACACCCCCTACCGGGGATGTGCCCGCAACCAAGGCACATGCCCTGAGTGGAACTGAACATGGGAGCCTTCAGTTCGCAGACCGATGCTCTATCCACTGAGCCAAACTGGTTAGCAATGTTTCTCTTTCATAGATGTTTCTATCTTTCTATCCCTCTCCCTTCCTCCCTCCCTCTCTCTCTTTCTCTCTCTCTTTCTCAAAAAAACAACAAAAACAAAACAACAACAACAACAAAAAACAAAAAATATATTTTAATAAAATAGAGCTGAGATTTTTAGGAAACACAGGGGAACACTAACATGTCGATGGACCCACCACCGGAGCTAATGGGAAGAAACTTCTATATATAGGATGGCCCTGCCATTGTCCCTGCCTCCCTCCTCCTAATATTCCTAGCAGGAGCCATCTGGGGTTTGGACAGGAAACCCAAGGCTTCTGGGGAAGAGTAAGGCGAGGGAAAGCAGCCCCTCATGGGGATGAACATGGGCATTGCCAGGCCATAGATTATTTTTATCCTCAGCAGTCATTCAAGACCCCAAGCCCAGAAAAGCAGTGGAACACAGAGCTAGGATTTCCATGGCAACCATTAGGTAAGAGATGGGGAAGTGGGGGGAGGAGGTGCCTGTTTCCCAAAGCTTACATGGAAGAAGGGTAAGAGAAAGGCAGGTGGTCCCAGTGACCCAGGAAACAGGCCCTGGATGCAGAAGAGACTTGTGAAAAGACCCAGCATCGTGTCTGGAGACAAAGAAGCCCGTGTGTATTCTCTGGGCAGCATCCACCTTGAACATCTCTCTGCTGTGACCACCTCCCTCCATTCAACTGGGACCAGAGATCAGGCCACACGAGAATGCCGAACTGGCCAGGCCAGAAGGTACAGGCAGGGGCTGAGGAAACACCACTGCTGTGGGCGAGAGGCGGCCTCAGGGGCAGAAGGCCTGAGCTCCGGCTCCCACCCTGCTGCACACCAGCTGCGGGAGCTGAAGAAAGTCACTCACTGGACCCACCCACTCCACATCCTGGGTTTTTTTTGTTGTCAGGTCAAACCTGCAACTCTGGCCTGAGCTTTACTCTGGACTCCCAAGTGAGCTCTGATACCATTCCCTCCGCCTTCAGCTGTTCCTTTCCCATACCATTCAACTCAAAACCTGTCCCTGCTACACCGATAGTTCTAAACTCGGGCAGAAGCCAGCAAAAACATCCCACTTCTTTTTTTTCTTTAACACATTTTATTTATTTTTCACAGAGAGGAAAGGAGAATCAGAAACATCGATGAGAGAGAAACATCGATCGGCTGCCTCCTGCACACCTCCCACTGGGAATGTGCCCGCAACCAAGGCACATGCCCTTAACCAGAAATGAACCTGGGACCCTTCAGTCCACAGGCTGTCGCTCTGTCCACTGAGCCAAACCGGTTCGACCATCCCACATTTTACTGCTTCCTTCCCTCATTACTTTCCTCCTCTCTTCTCTTCTCTCTCTTTTTCCCATAACCATTCCACTTTCCTGACCTGGAATATACTTCTTCCACCCCTCCTCAGAGGACCCCAGGGAAGACAGCCACACTTCTGCACCCTTGGAGTCTCACCTTGTACACCTGTCCATAGGTTCCATTGCCAACCACTTCCACCAGCTCAAAGATTCCAGCAGGGTCCTGGAGGGGAGAGGGAGAGAAAGAATAAGGTGTCAGACTTCAGAAAAAGTTTATGTAGCCTGGGGGGGGGGTGGGGGGGGGGGAGATGTATTCAACCAGTAGAGAAGAGTGAAGACTAGTATATTATGAGAGGCCTGCAGAGGGAACCCTGATGGCCAGCTGCCCCTTTCCTCTATGGGTTCAGAGTTCATGATGTATGGGAAAAGTCAGAAGATGAGAGAAAACAGAAGCCAGAGCCCAGCTAGCTTTTCAAAGACATGCTCCTGATTTCAAACTCAATGACAAACTCTGAGAGTGTATAGCCTACCTGCAAAATAGGGTGCCTGAGTACCCACCTCTGGGGTTCGTATCAAATTTATTGATTGATTGTTAATCCCCTATCCAAGGTTATTTTTCCATTGATTTTTAGAGAGTGGAAGGGAGGGGGACAGAGAAACACATGTAAAAGACACGGCTACTGGTTGACTCCCACATTTTGCAGGACTGGGGATTGAGCCTGCAACCGAGGTACATGCCCTTGACTGGAATGGAACCTAGGACCCTTCAGTCGATGGGCTGACGCTCTATCCATCGAGCCAAATTGGCTGGGGTGGGCTGGTGTCAACTTTCAATGAGGCAATGCCCAAAAAATGGTTAAGATGATGCCTGGCACGGGTTAAAAGTGTGTGCAATAACAGTTACTTACAGTTACTAATTTTTTAAAAGCAGGGAATTGGAACTTGAGAGCTACCATCCTTTTGACATCCTGCCCGCCCCCCCCTTCCCAGTCTCCTGAGACCAAGGGCTTCAGAGCCAATGTTTGTGGCCTCTGAGGGTAGAGAGAGCTCTAGGTAGGGAGGGAGAGCAGGTGACAGTGAGAGGGCCCCTGGCAGGGGCAGATGAGAAGGGAGAACTTTCAGTTCCTGCTTTCCCGAGCCAAGCAGTGCTAGGAGGAGAGAGCCCGAAAGGCTCAGACAAAGCCTCTAAAGAGGCTCGTTGCCTGCAGAGCCAAGAGCAGGCAGCCTGGCTGAGCAGCACAGCTGCCGGCAGGCCCGCCCACACCCTCCTGGCAGAAACTCTTTTCTGAAAGAGGGAGAGAGGCTGGGAAGTGGGGCTGCAAGCTGAGAGCCAGCCTGTTCCTGTGCTCTGCAACCTGGGCAGACCCTCTCCCGCCACCTGCAGGACTAAGAGGAGAGGCACCACAAACTGAGGATGCCACTTAGGAAAACAAACCCTCCAGACAGAGCATTGTGCTCATAATCCTAGAAGTATATAATCTAAAACTCCTTTCTCCCTGATTTTGAAAACCAATATAAGATTTCTAAAAAACACACACACACACACAAAAAAAACACACAAACAAACAAAAAACACCAAAGAATCCTTCCCCTTTCATCCACGGAAGCCAGCACATGAAACATAACTTGGGCATGGTTGGGACCAGGAAGACACCAGCCCGAGGTGTTGTGCTTTTTTTTAGAATATCCTTACCCTATACTATCTCTGTCCATTTTCTCAAAGAGGGGAACTGGAGGATTCAAATGTACTTCCCCTATCAGAGCATGTATTAGCATGCACTGTTATTGTGTACCGACTTGTCCAGACATTTCCAGATATAAGGGACTAAGTCTTCCTTGTTTACCACTGTGTCCAGTACCTACCTCGCCCAGAGCCTAGCATATGGAAGCCTGAAAGAACATCCCCAAGCTACTCCAGGGAAAAACTTGATAGAAGTAGAAAACAGCTCCTTCTATGTGCTCTGAACGATCCTGGGCTGACCAGACCAAGGATTTCGTGGTTCTGTGTTCAGTTATTTAGCTCCAGCTGAAGTTCCTTTAGAAAAGACCTTGAACAGGTCTAATAAAACAGCAGGCCCCACTAGAAAGAGAGATGTTGTCACTGTGAGATATTACGAGGATTAATTAATGAGAGGCCTGGAGCCTGGAAGAAGGTACCTTGTCTAATTGCAAATCTAGACTTAGAGGAAGGAAGCCCAGTTCCCTAAAAATCTCCCCAAAAGAAGGGCTCATCCATTTGGGGGCCTCTAAACTCTGCTGAGAAGTCCTTTTCTGCATCCAACTTAGTTCTCTCTAGATGACAGAGACAAGAAAAAAGGACTTATGATTTTCTGGATCCTCCTAATCTAAGAGAAAATATGATGGGCCTATTAGAGTCACAATGGTATACCACCATCACCTCAAATCAGCACAGATTTAATTTTATAATCTTAGCTCCAAATCTGTCTCCTCCTGTATTTGGGAGGCACTGAGAAATGAAAGAACATCTTTGAGGTCAGACACACTGGGTTCAGAAGATGATTTAATGGTTTCAAGCCCATGTCCTGACCCACAAGCCCGTGTTTTGACCCACAAGCCCGTGTTCTGACCCATAACCGCACCTACTTGAAATGGTTACGCTAAGAACTAGGCTGAGAGCCTGAATGTGGCACAGCAGTTATGTACCGAACATCCTCCACAGAGCGTGCTCCTAGAGACCACTCCTCTCCCCTCGTCAAGAGCAATACCGTTTTCAAAGCAAAATCTCTCCTGGGTACCATTCTCTACCCCCTCCCTGTTCCTTCTCCACATCACAGTCACCCTATCCTTCCTCCCTTCAGAATGTCCCTGTTTGTCTTTTTCTCTCAGTTCCTAGAGCTGCCAGCCAGGCCATCCCTCCTCTTTTCCCTCCCGGAGCTCCTGCCTCACTTCTGCTGCCGCTGCCAGATTGAACCCTCCTAACATGGTGCTTTTTAAGTCCTCCTCTCCTGCCTAGGACCAGCATGGCTCCCACCGCCTAAGAAGAGCCCAAACACCTCAGCCAGATCGTTACAGTTGCCCATCACCAATAAATATTTCCTGAGCGCCTGCATCTACCCTGTACCGGGCTAGGCCCTAATCAGGGAAAATCTGTAAGGCAACTTTCTCTTCTTTCATTCAGCAATTAAATATTTATTGAGCACTAACTGAGTGATGACTCCTCAATTAGGCACAATGAGGAGCTCAGCGATACATGAGAAACAGGGAAGGTCGCTCCAGGATCCTCTAACTTTACAAGTACCCCAGCACACACACGGCAGTGAATGATTGTTTGCCATAAGAGCAACTGAAAGCACCAAGGCATTAAGAAACTGCTTGGTGGAGTGGAAAGAGCACTGGGGAGTGAGTTTCTAAGAACTTGAGCATTAGCTGTATGTCCCTAAGCAGGTGTTTAACGGTTTGGCGCCTTGTCTTCCACATACAAACTAAGAGGGAGTTGAACTGGGTAAAAAACTTGTCTCATGGCTTCAGGGAACAGAACTAAATTCAGATTGAAAATCTGGGGCAGACTCCCCAGAGGAGAGTCTACGCTGGGCTTTGGCAGCTGGTTAAGGTTTCAATCGGTGATAGGAATTTAAGACTGGGGAAGGCTGCTTGGCTGGAGTGGCTCAGTTGGTTGAGCGAAGTCCCATGAGCCAAAAAGACACTCGTTCAATTCCTGTTGGGAGCACGTACCAAGGTTGCGGGCTCGATCCCCACTGGGGGCATGCAGAAGGCAGCCCATCCATGTCTCTCTCTTCCCCCACCCCCTTCCTTTCTTTCTGAAATCAATAAAAAAAATATTTAAAAATCAGAAAGAAAGAAAAAAAGAAAGAAAGGAGTGGGGAAGGCCGAAACATGCTAAGGAACAGCAGTCTGAGTTTGGGTGTTGAGTCTGAGATGTTAGGGGACGCGTAGGAGTAAATGTCTATCAGGCGGTTAGAAACAAAGGTCTGGAGATAAAGATTTGGAGGACATTCACACGTGTGAGAGTTGGAGACAGGAGACCAGACGTCTAGGGAGCATGCACAAGGAAAAGAGAATAAAAGAGCCAAGGCCAGCCTCTGAGGAATGGCCATGTGCACCACGATGGAGCACAGAACAGACACCAGAGGAGGAGGCAATCAGGACTGAAGAAAACAGCCATGACTTAGCGCCCAGGAAACCACTGGGAACCTGGGTGGGAACTGCAGTCGTGAGAGCAGGAAGAGGAGATGCCGTACAAGGCGGTAAGGCTACGGGTGCTGCCTCCTCACTGCAGAATGTTAACTTGGAGAGGAAGGGGAAATTAGATGATGGCTAGCGGAGGCAGAAGGGCCAGGCAAAAGGGTTTCTAAAATAGAGATCTTTCATGCTTGTGGAAGGGAAGAAGCCACAAAGAGAGGAGACTGATGATGCTTGATGAGTTGACTTTTTAATGATATATATGTGTATACCCATGTATATGTGTATTTCATAGCATGTAAACTGTATCTTCCACTGATTTACATAGGGATAAAATACAATAATGCCTATTTCTCTTATTCACACACCTAATGATTCGGAATGCCCAGAAATGCTTAGCAGTTCAAATATGATTTATGTATTGATCTGGTCTCAAATGTGAGCCCTTCAAATATGCACCTGTCACCCTCTTTGATGGTGATCTAATAGAGGTGTCTGCAGAAGGAGGTGCTCTGCTACTGGGAAGCCACCAAAACAGTCCTGGCTTGGCCCCTGCAAGTGGACACAGCTCTAACGATGGGCCTTGTCCAGCTCTTTCTCTTGGTGCTCAAACTCTTTGTTCTCAGCAGTCTAATTTCTTATCCAGCCAGCTGCTGGCAGATGGGAAGGGATGGAAACAAGGGTATGAATAACTAAAGAGAGAAGGGAGAAGGACAGGAAAAGATAAAAAGTGAAGAGATGCTGGTCTGTTGAAGTAAAGAGGAAGGAAGATGAGGGAATTCCATAAATACCAAATGACTCTGACTTTAACGATGTCAGAGGGAAGATCATCTACTAAGTAGAAACGGGGGCCTGAATGAGTTGGCAAAAACATGGGAACAGATGCTACACAGGTGCTTTAAGATAGTATCTCCTAAATTTCATGATATATAGGAATCACCTCCTAGGATCTGCCACCAGAGATTCTGATTTAGCACCTCAGGTGAGAAGCAGGTATGAGTCTATTTAACAGATCCCCCTGGGTGATTCTAATGCAAAAGGCAGTGGACCCATTTTGAGCAA